CCACATGCCTTGGCACAAGTCCTACAGTACATTATGGCAATTTCAGGGCCTGAAATTTCTACAATATCCAAATGATTCAGAGCCAGATCATAATCTATATGAGGTCTGATTTACTGCCTATTTACCCTTACCTCTTTCTTGGCTCTGGACTCTAATTTTTGCCTAACCCTACAAAGTTTTCAAAAGTGCTGTTCATCCTGTCTCCCCAGCCATGTTGTAAACTTTTATTTGTTTTGACTTCCTATGCCACACTTAGCACAGAGTCTGAGCAGACAATAGACTGCTTAAATGTTCAATGAAAGAATGAATAGATAAATTGATATGGTGGAGAGGGAAGGAATTACACAAACCACTAACAATGTCTCATATACGTTCATGTACATACAAAATAATCTGCAAACCTATGTCAAAATATATTTTCTTATTTGTACAACATTATTTGAGGCCTGGCAAGGTGGCTCATGTCTGTAGTCCCAGATACTCAGGTGATTGAGGCAGGAGAATTGCTTGAATCTGGAAGGCAGAGGTTGCAGTGACACGAGATCATGCCACTGCACTCCAGCCTGGGTGACAGAGTAAGACTCTGTCAAAAAAAGAAAAAAAAAAGTGACCTGAAGCATTTGGAGTGTGCGTGCGAAGTTGTTTTTTATTTTTGGGCAGGGGGTGGGTTTGCATTTTTTGGACACAGTCTCATTCTGTCGCCCATGCTGGAGTGCAATGGCATGAGCTCGGCTCACTGCAGCTTCTACTTCCCAGGTTCGGGTGATTCTCATGCCTCAGCCACTTGAGTAGTTGGGATTATAGGGATTACAGGCTTGAGCCACAGCGCCCGGCCCTCCCACTTCACTAATCTTTTTCAACTATGTCTAATCCTGCTATTAAAACCATATATTAACATCTAAATTCAGTTACTGTATTTTTCAAATCTAGAATTTATCTTGCTTCTCTTTCAAATATGCTATCAAACTTTATAATGTTCAACGCTTAAGCTTATTTTGTTGTTGTTGCTGGATTATTTTTTGTTTTTTGTTTTTTTTTTGAGATGGACTCTTGCTCTGTCACCAGGCTGGAGTGCAGTGGCTCCATCTCGGCTCACTGCAACCTCCACCTCCAGGGTTCAAGCGATTCTCCTGCCTCAGCCTCCCGAGTAGCTGGGATTACAGGCAACCATCACCATGCCCAGCTAATTTTTGTATTTTTAGTAGAGACGGGGTTTCACCACATTGGCCAAGCTGTTCTCGAACTCCTGACCTCGTGATCCACCCGCCTTGGCCTCCCAAAGTGCTGGGATTACAGACGTGAGCCATGGTGCCCGGCCAGTTTTTGTTTTTTTTTTCCCTTTGAGACAGAGTCTTGTTCTATCGCACAGGCTGGAGTGCAGTGGCGAGATCTCTGCTCACTGCAATCTCCGCTTCCTGGGTTCAAGCGATTCTCCTGTCTCAGCCTCCCGAATTGCTGGGATTACAGGTGCCCGCAACCACGCCCAGCTAATTTTTGTATTTTTAGTAGAGATGAGATTTCGCCATGTTGGCCAGGCTGTTCTCGAACTCCTCATCTCAGGTGATCCACCTGCCTTGGCCTCCCAAAGTGCTGGGATTACAGGCATGAGCCACCGTGCCCAGATCTTCTTTTTTTATTTTTTGAGACAAAGTCTCTCTCTGTCACCCCAGGGTGGAGTGCAGTGGCGCAGTTTCGACTCACTGCCACCTCTGTCTTCTGGGTTCAAGTGATTCTTTGACTCAGCCTCCTGAGCTGCTGGGATTACAGGTGCATGCCACCACTCCTGGCTAATTTTTGTATTTTTAGTAAAGATGGGGTTACACCATGTTGTCCAGGCTAGTCTCGAACTCCTGGCCTCAAGTGATCCACCTGCCTTGGTCTCCCAAAGTGCTGGGATTATAGGCCCGAGACACCATGTCTGGCCTATAGTATGTTTCAAATTATCCTTGTGTGGTAGATGTTGTACTTGAAAAATTATTTATAAAAATAATTGGAGGCCAGGCACGGTGGCTCATGCTTGTAATTCTAGCACTTTGGGAGGCTGAGGCGGGTGGATCACCTGAGGTCAGGAGTTCGAGACCAGCCTGGCCAACATGGTGAAAGCCCCTCTCTACTAAAAATACAAA